TATATATATATATATATATATATATATATATATATATATATATATATATATATATATATATATATATATATATATATATTTGAGTTATGAAATTAAATATAATTTTTTGATGAATTATTCAGATAACCAGATAAAACAAAGAAAGAAAAGGGCAGATGCTTTTACTTTGATCGACAGGGAGCAAAAATCCAGGTGCTTGATAATTTGTGATAAATAAAAATGCATGGTTGCATTTTGACGTATACAGGCATACAGGTACCTGAATTTAACTTTGCATCATCCTACACTTAATCAGCGAGCAACAGAAGAGATTCTAGTCGAAATGTATGTTCCCTTGACCTGGTTGTGTTTATAATACAAATCTTTTATTTTTCGATCTTTCTTTACAGCAATGTGATAAATACACCATCTAGTAAACACGGTAACGTCCTTAAGTCGGTCTATGCCGGTGGTCGGAAAATCGCTGCTCTTTACCGACCTGAGTGCGGCTCGGCCAGTCGGCCACAAATCTGTTTTGACTCCGAAAAACATGGTTCTTGACAAGAAATTTAAGTTAATCAAAAATCATAAGACATATGTCTAAAGTTCACACTTGATATCCTAAAGCAACTAATTATTTAGGCCTAAACTTAAGTAAACAATAACACTTTGTTTGTTTGGTTTTTTTTTTGTTTTTTTTTGTTTTTTTTTTGTTGTCATTGTTTGTTTGTTGTTGTTTTTTTTTTTTTTTTGTTTTTTTTTGTTTTTTTTTTTTTTTTTTTTTTTTTTTTTTTTTTGTTTTTTTTTTTTTTTTTTTTTTTTTTTTTTTTTTTTGTTTTTTTTTTTTTTTTTTTTTTTTTTTTTTTTTTTGGGGGGGGGGTTATAATAAAATGTCTAATGTGGCAATTATTTTAAATATCTGCTTCAAAAAATTTGCATTTGGTGTTAGTATGATATTTAATGAATAGGAGGGCAAATCTGTCAATAAAATTGGCGCTACCTGTTAAGTTGGGTTGGGTTTTTTATTATTATTTTTTTTGCTTTTAAATCTCATTATCGAGCGTCATAATATCATTAATGATTAATATTTTAGTGATGGCTGGTCACCAATCGAGCTTACTTGAAAGCAGAGCCGTTCTTAGGAGTTTGGGGGCCCTAAACATGGAGCGTAGGTTGGGGGCCCCGGAAGGGGGGTCCAGGGGTAGAGCTCCCTTGAGCTGAGGAGAAAACACCACCCACCACTGCGGCACCTACATTCTGTCTTCATCAATGTTTCCTCTTTGCTCGCGTGTAACCACTAACCATATTGACAATTCCGCCACTAGAGAAAATGTGTACTTCTGAAATATATGGATATATATCGAGGGCGCCTCAGGGGGGCCCCCTCACGTTCGGGGCCCTACACGGATGCGTAGTCAGTGTATGCCTAAGAACGGGCCTGCTGAAAGTGTTTGTTTTTTTTATATGACAACTTCTTCCTTTGTTTGGTTTTCTATTTTAAACAGCTAATAATGTTGATATGTTGATTTTTCCTTTATAGCAAATGTGATTTTTACAAATATTCTTTATCAATAAAGTATCTAGGATGCATGTAACATAATAATTTTATTACAATAAAATATATACTATATAACCTAGATTACAATAAAATATATACTATATAACCTAAAAAGAAATTGTTTTCAATTATTGATATTGTTGAATTGAACTACTTTTACTACCGCCTTATTGGGTATCTAATATAGGCTACTGAGAACTAAGATTTGTTATCTAATAGGGTACCGATAACTAAGATTATTGAAGTTTAACTTCCAATATCCTTACTTTTCCCTTTCCTTATCTTTATTGTTTCCTTACCTACTTAGACTTCACTATCATTTTACAGTTTTCAAAGCATAATAAAATAAATTCCTTTTCATTTTGGCATTAATACTTCCAAGTGCGTTTGATTTTTGTTTTAGGCAGGCTTTTTTTCCGACACGTTAGTTGTTCTGCTTGTCTTCTTTCAGATTTCCCATTGCCCCATGTTTTATATTTTCTGGTAGTTTTAATGACGATTGCCGGGTTAAACATAAAGGTGCAATATGACTAAATGGCGCCAATCCTTAGGGTTCATGAGGTTTCACGGCGGCCCGCCCATGCCTAGGGATCATGAGGTTTCACGGGGCCCGCCCACGCCTAGGGATCATGAGGTTTCGGGGGGGGGGGGGCACCCACGCCTATGGATCATGAGGTTTCACGGGGGCCCGCCCACGCCTAGGGATCATGAGGTTTCACGGGGGCCCGCCCACGCCTAGGGATCATGAGGTTTCACGGGGGCCCGCCCACGCCTAGGGATCATGAGGTTTCACGGGGGCCCGCC